AGAGAGAGAGAGAGAATTGTTGCCGTGGGAGAAGGCCCTCTCACCTTGTGCTTACGAGAATGGTCTGTAACCATTAACTTGGTCATTGTTTTCAATAAAATAAGCCCCCAAACCGATTTCTCAAGAGCTTTTCTTGGAACATCAACACTTGCTCATTCCAGCTGCCCCTAACAGTTGTCCATTTTCAGTGTTGGAATTGGTATTGAAACAAATGAAGTGTATTACAGTAATGTCCCCTCCTGTTGGAGCTGAGCCCTGTGGTGCTAGGTGCTGTACAGACATATGCCAAAAGACAGCTCCTGCTCCAGAGATTGCAGTCTTAGTTTAACACATGACAACATACCCAGGCAACAAACGGGGAAGGTCAGGGCAACCGCAGTGTACACCGTGTGTAGAGGTACTGGTATAAGCAGTGTTCCCTAGTGGATAGAACACTAAAGTGGGATTCAGGAGACCTCTGTTCTGTTCCTGGCCTGCTGAGGGACTATGGGCAAATCACTTTGCCCTTCCATGCCTCAGTTTCCCCACCTGTGCAGTGGGGATAGTGACACTGACCTGCAGAAAGCGCTCTGAGAACTATGGCTAACAAGCTATTGTTAGTCTTGCTCAGTAACCAGAGTCCTAACCCCGCCCCGGCCTGGCAGAATGGAATTTTAAGCCGCTTGGAGTAGGTCCGAGGTTAACTCTGAAGACTGGCTGGAGCGATTGTTTTGAGCAGAGTGCGGCCCTACACCAGCTAACGGGGAGTCTCATGGCTTTTGATTGGTATTGTGGTCGTGCCTGGGGCCCTGCTGTACCAGTCTAAATTCTGTCCTCCATAGCCTAGGGTGTCTGTGTGTTTCAGTTCTGTAGCTATCCTAACACCTGTTCATTCCTGCACGGAAGAGCAGGGAGGTATGATGATGGGGCTTTAATACTTTGCATCCCCCAAACGCTCTGTCTCAGACACCTTCTGCCGACACCCGTCCATGCATTTAGTCGCTCTGATCAGAAATTGGGATCGGCTTGAGGCTGGTGTAGTATCCCATCAGCTGTCAAGCAGGTGTCATTCCATTCCCTAGCACTGCAGACACTGTGTGGAAACCGGGCTGGAGCGTGTTTATTTTTAACCCCGTGAGCCAGCATCGCTATGAATAAAAAAAAAAAAATCAGTAGTGGATGGAGCCTAATGCACCGAATCTTCTGAAAAGTACCCTTGGGGTGAGGTCAAGTTCACAAAGAAGACAGACAAAGTAGGCTTTGGAGGAAGCTAGGAGCAAACGCTGTCCTTAACTTTGTCATTTAACTCTTAAGCAGTGGTGGAGGATTCACCCCCTTCCAACCCCTGAGCTGTTCCAAGGCATGGATGGTTCATTAGGACACAGATCGAAGAGGCTAGGTTTTTTTAATAGGCTGAGAATAGGATGCCTGCCTGATCCCCTTGCTGCCCTTGAATAACTGTATAGCAACTCTGGGACTAATCGCTCACTTTCTAACTTGCCCTTCTCCAGTGGGAATGTTGCTGGAGTTTCCCGTTGCCTGGTGGGATGTGTTCAGCTGATGTTGACTTAAATTTGGGGTTTGTTTCATGGGC